CCTGACCCCTGCATTGCATACTCCTGACCCCTGCATTACATACTCCTGACCCCTGCACTCTGCATTGCATACTCCTCACCCCTGCACTCTGCATTACATACTCCTGACCCCTGCACTCTGCACTGCATACTCCTGACCCCTGCATTACATACTCCTGACCCCTGCACTCTGCATTACATACTCCTGACCCCTGCGTTACACACTCCTGACCCCTGTACTCTGCATTACATACTCCTGACCCCTGCACTATGCGTTACATACTCCTGACCCCTGCACTCTGCGTTACCTACTCCTGACCCCTGCACTCTGCGTTACCTACTCCTGACCCCTGCACTCTGCGTTACCTACTCCTGACCCCTGCACTCTGCGTTACCTACTCCTGACCCCTGCACTCTGCGTTACCTACTCCTGACCCCTGCACTCTGCGTTACCTACTCCTGACCCCTGCACTCTGCGTTACCTACTCCTGACCCCTGCACTCTGCGTTACCTACTCCTGACCCCTGCACTCTGCGTTACCTACTCCTGACCCCTGCACTCTGCGTTACCTACTCCTGACCCCTGCACTCTGCGTTACCTACTCCTGACCCCTGCACTCTGCGTTACCTACTCCTGACCCCTGCACTCTGCGTTACCTACTCCTGACCCCTGCACTCTGCGTTACCTACTCCTGACCCCTGCACTCTGCGTTACCTACTCCTGACCCCTGCACTCTGCGTTACCTACTCCTGACCCCTGCACTCTGCGTTACCTACTCCTGACCCCTGCACTCTGCGTTACCTACTCCTGACCCCTGCACTCTGCGTTACCTACTCCTGACCCCTGCACTCTGCGTTACCTACTCCTGACCCCTGCACTCTGCGTTACCTACTCCTGACCCCTGCACTCTGCGTTACCTACTCCTGACCCCTGCACTCTGCGTTACCTACTCCTGACCCCTGCACTCTGCGTTACCTACTCCTGACCCCTGCACTCTGCGTTACCTACTCCTGACCCCTGCACTCTGCGTTACCTACTCCTGACCCCTGCACTCTGCGTTACCTACTCCTGACCCCTGCACTCTGCGTTACCTACTCCTGACCCCTGCACTCTGCGTTACCTACTCCTGACCCCTGCACTCTGCGTTACCTACTCCTGACCCCTGCACTCTGCGTTACCTACTCCTGACCCCTGCACTCTGCGTTACCTACTCCTGACCCCTGCACTCTGCGTTACCTACTCCTGACCCCTGCACTCTGCGTTACCTACTCCTGACCCCTGCACTCTGCGTTACCTACTCCTGACCCCTGCACTCTGCGTTACCTACTCCTGACCCCTGCACTCTGCGTTACCTACTCCTGACCCCTGCACTCTGCGTTACCTACTCCTGACCCCTGCACTCTGCGTTACCTACTCCTGACCCCTGCACTCTGCGTTACCTACTCCTGACCCCTGCACTCTGCGTTACCTACTCCTGACCCCTGCACTCTGCGTTACCTACTCCTGACCCCTGCACTCTGCATTACATACTCCTGCCCCCTGCATTACATAGTCCTGACCCCAGCACTCTGCATTGCATACTCCAGACCCCTGCATTGCATACTCCTGACCCCTGCACTCTGCGTTACATACTCCTGACCCCTGCACTCTGCGTTACATACTCCTGACCCCTGCACTCTGCGTTACACACTCCTGACCTCTGTACTCTGCATTACATACTCCTGACCCCTGCACTACATACTCCTGACCCCTGCACTACATACTCCTGACCCCTGCACTCTGCATTACACACTCCTGACCCCTGTACTCTGTGTTACATACTCCTGACCGCTGTACTCTGCGTTGCATACTCCTGACCCCTGCGTTGCATACTCCTGACCCCTGCACTCTGCGTTGCATACTCCTGACCCCTGCACTCTGCATTGCATACTCCTGAGCCCTGAGCTTCTCAAACCTTCCTTAATTTGTAATGGACCCTTGCTAGATGATGCCCTCTTTTTCAGGCGGAGCTCCGACTCTCCAGGGTCGCCTCCCCGTGCTGGTCTTTACACTGATGAAACGACGAGACGGAGGAGTCCGGAACAGGCGGCTGAGTTCTCAGGAAGAATTCTCATTGGGTAAGCGGAAAGGTCAAAGTTCAGGCAGCTCCCCCCCAAAAAGAATTGTGAGAAAGTAGCCATGAGCCTGAGAGACGCCGGGGCCCCGATGATGACGGGAGTTCCATACGAGATACAATGTAGCAGATGGAAGAGAAAGCAACGATTGTGATTGGATGATTGATACAAAGGGCGGGCCGGGGAGGGTTTTTAGGGAAGTGACTCAAAAGGCACAAATTTCCCGGCAGCAGAAAAAAAAACATTTCCGCCCATTTTTCTGGGTAAATTCCCCGGGACGGTGAAGAGAGTTCGGTGACAGCAAATATCCAGGTCATGCTGGGACTTGTAGTCCTCCAGCCGCAGCAGATGCAACGTATGCAGATAATACGATACAATGATATAACGGAGCCGCTGTGAGTCATCAGAATGTATTCCTGGAGAATCCCCAAATATCCGGCTTGTGGGTGGAGTCTGGGAAGAAGAAGGGATCGCATTGTTATAACTCCATAGAAGCACAATCATTTCTAAGGCTGCACCACACAACAATTGGATGGCCGGGTTTCCTGATGGTGACAACAGTGGATCATGTCTGTGTAATGTGTACTGAAATGGCCACTTGTAGTCTCCATCAGAAGCCCGTATGACAAGGTGACAACGCAGGAGAACAGGTGGGGGACAGGATCAGAGCGTTGTCACCCTATAACAGGAAGTGCCTGAACAAGGACCTCCATGGCGGGATCACTGGGGAATATTTGAATGAAAGCTGCAGATTTTAAAAAGATTGAAAACGACTTTGGAAATGACATGAACGTGTTAAACATGAGATAAGTCTGAGATTCCAGTGATCGGGTTCAGTCTAGTTGTAGTCCTGCCCTACTGTAGAACTACATATCCCAGCAGTCCTGCTCCCTAAGACATTGCGCTCTGCTGACTCCAGGTTGCTGCACTTTGCACACTCTGCGATGCGGCTGTATGCATTCTGCCGCAGAAATGTAGAACTACAAATCTCAGCGTGCCTGTCACTTCATCTCTGCAGCTGCCCTCTGTGTTGTGTCCCGGGGGAGGGCGGGTCCAGCAGTCATTGGCTTGCTGGGATTTGTAGTTCTACAGTGACACGGCACCCACAGGCCGTATATACACACACACAGAGTATATACATTTCATATACCGTACATACCGGGCGGGCTGATGACGTCTCTCCCGGTGCTGATCAGAGGTCGGCCGGCGGCGGAGTCTCGGGCGGCAGTGACAACGACACACAGAGCGCCCCGGGCTGAGTTCTGAACGGAAAACAAGTCAGTACAAGTCAGATCCGCTCATCCCTCCCCTGCCCCCTCCCTGCTCTGTCATCCAGTGTACCACCCTCCACCTACGTCAGCTCCATGCTGCTTCAAGTTACAGAACGGAGCTCGCTCGGCAGTAGCGGATTCTTGTGTCCCGGGCGAGTCATTGATTGATGCAGAATGATCGGAGGTTATTGATCGGCTGATTGATGAGAGTTGTCGGGATTCCTCAGATCTCTTCTTCGGGATTTATATACAAAGGGGTCTATTCACGAAGCTGCCGAGGGCAGCCGAGTGAATGACCGATCTGAAGTGAAGTGAGCTTCGGCTATTCACTTCAAGCTGGTACGGCTAATGTATCCAGAAGGAGAAACATTTCAGATGATACAAATGTGATTTCTTCCCGCGCTGGAGGACGGTGAAGAGGGTTCCGGTCTGCGGGTCAGAACTCGGGCCCATTCACATCATAGCGCTGCACTAAACGCATCCATCGCACAGCTTTGTGTATTTCTTCCAGATCTGTGAAACCTGTAATAAAGACCGGTCACTGCTGCTCTCTCTCCTTGTGCAGGGTGACTGGTCTTGTCTCTGCCCCCTCCTGTAATAAAGACCGGTCACTGCTGCTCTCTCTCCTTGTGCAGGGTGACTGGTCTTGTCTCTGCCCCCTCCTGTAATAAAGACCTATCACTGCTGCTTTCTCTCCTTGTGCAGGGTGACTGGTCTTGTCTCCGCCCCTTCCTGTAATAAAGACCGCTTACTGCTGCTCTCTCTCCTTGTGCAGGGTGACTGGTCTTGTCTCCGCCTGCAGTAGGTTGATCACTGGGGGGAGGGAAGACTGAGGAAATGCTTCCTCCTGCTTGCAGCAGACTGATCACTGGGAGAGGGAAGACTGAGGAAATGCTTCCTCCTGCAGCAGACTGATCACTGGGAGAGGGAAGACTGAGGAAATGCTTCCTCCTGCTTGCAGCAGACTGATGACATCATCTCAGCCTAACTAAGTGGAGATCAGGGATTTATTCATGGAGCCTTGTAAAGTTACTGACAGGTCCTCTTGAAAGAGGAAGTCCATCCAAATCTATTTTATTTTTAGTGTCGGGCACGGCAGGGAAGAGACATTTTTAGGCTTTTATTTATCTTGGTGAAATTTCTCCACTTAAAACATTAAAGTGAATTAAAGGGACACCCTTCTTGAAAACTTGCATGGTGTTTTGTGGCTTACACCCTGATCAATAAAGCTGTAGAGGGTATAGATGGGGCAGGAGATAGATAGAAAAAAAGGAGAGGAGGAGGCATACAGAGGGTGACAATGCAGCATAAAGAAGAATTACACGACCACCTGCGCTGATATGACTACATAGAGACCACTGTGCAAAGCCATCCCTGCCCCCTCCAAGTAACCGGTCCTCGCAGTGTCACATGACAAGCTAAAGGGAAGAACAGAAACAGGCTGAGGCCTGTCATGTGACACTGAAACGGACTAGTTGCCTAGTTACGGGGACGCCGCTCTGTAGCGAACATCCGGAAGTGGGCGGTCCAACATCACATCAGTCCAATGGGAGCCTGAGAACGGGACATGTGTGCTATGGCCAATAGAGAGTCCTGCTGCGCACGTCTCTGTGCTTACAGCCAATGAGCGTGCGGTGGGTGTGGCCGGAAGAAGCAAGGAGCTCACACGTGGGTCCGGTACTGTGGCATCATGTCTGGCCTGTTCATCAAGAAGAGAGCGGAGAGCGCCCGGAGGAAGCGGGGGGAGGTGAGTACCGGGACCCGAGAGTGAAGGTGGGTGGTCAGTAGTGGGGCCTGTCCACACTGTGTGATGGGAGGACTACAGGTACCAGCATGGCCACCGCCTGATACAACAGTGTGTCTGGGTACAGTATGGCTGCAGCCTGATCCTCCCTTATATACTGCATGGTGGGGAACTACATGTATCAGCATGGCTCCTATGCAGTATATACATTGCAGTGCATGGTGTGTGCTGACAGATCCCATTCTGCAGACTGATATTCAATGCAGTGTGTGTCTAATCTGCCCTCATGTGCTGGGGAACCACATGTGCCAGCATGTCTCATTGTACACCGGTGTATGTGGTGGCAATGACAGGTCCTCTTTCTGCAGCTGGGCACAGCCCTGTGCATTACTAGGGTCAGCATAGCTGCATACACTGTATGATGGGGCACTATAGGTACAGGCATGGCTTACATATGTTACAGTGCATGGTGGGGGCTGGGCCTGGCAATGACGGGTCCCCCTCTGCAACCTGATACTGGGGTGCAGCCTGATCTGCCCTTGTACTTTGGCACGCTGGTACGTGTTCCCCAATCATGTCTGTACACCAGTATAGATGATGTCCCAGCAATGACAGGTCCTCTTTCTGCAGCTGGGCACAGCCCTGTGAACGTCTAGGGTCAGCATAGCGGCCTACACTGTATGATGGGGCACTACAGGTACCAGCGTGACTTACACAGTGCAGGTTGTGTGCTGGGTCCAGCAGTGACAGGTCCTCTTTTGGCAGCCCAGTGCAGCGTAGTCAGTGTGTGCCTGGGGTCACCCTGACATTGCATACATTTCCTGCCAGAAATCCAGAGTCCTTGTCACTTCCTGTGTGTGGATCTGAAATTGCAAACAATGTTATCAGCTGTTGTCTGTGATCTACAGAGCTCCTCCCCCTATGATATGGAGGGTGGGTGTGTGTTCTGTAGTCCGTGTCCAAAGTGACAACAATGCTCCTCCCTCCCATGTAGTACGGCGAGTGTTGTCACCCTGGGACAGGAAGTGTGTTAGTGGCGGGATCATCAGGTGATAATAAAGAAGACTAATGCGGCCGCCACATCTCAGGACAGGAAGCTGCGATCTGTTACATTGTTTCCAGTTTGGATACATTGTTTCTCCTGACGCGACACCCCGCGCGTTGCCTGTATACGGGTTCTCTTTAAAGCGGCGCTGTGTGTATGAAGTGCACCCGGCGGGAATGTCTTTTTGTATTGATTCTCATGTTTTTCTCCTCAGGTGAATGATGGCGCCGCGCAGAAGAAGAAAAAGAAGATGGTGAATCTGCGGGAGGAGATCGAGAGCGACTCGGACACGGAAGTGTGAGCTCACGTTCCTCCTTCCTGTCTCTGCCTGTCTGCCTGCCTGCCTCTGTCTGCCTGCCTGCCTCTGTCTGCCTGCCTGCCTCTGTCTGCCTGCCTGCCTCTGTCTGCCTGCCTGCCTCTGTCTGCCTGCCTGCCTCTGTCTGCCTGCCTGCCTCTGTCTGCCTGCCTGCCTCTGTCTGCCTGCCTGCCTCTGTCTGCCTGCCTGCCTCTGTCTGCCTGCCTGCCTCTGTCTGCCTGCCTGCCTCTGTCTGCCTGCCTGCCTCTGTCTGCCTGCCTGCCTCTGTCTGCCTGCCTGCCTCTGTCTGCCTGCCTGCCTCTGTCTGCCTGCCTGCCTCTGTCTGCCTGCCTGCCTCTGTCTGCCTGCCTGCCTCTGTCTGCCTGCCTGCCTCTGTCTGCCTGCCTGCCTCTGTCTGCCTGCCTGCCTCTGTCTGCCTGCCTGCCTCTGTCTGCCTGCCTGCCTCTGTCTGCCTGCCTGCCTCTGTCTGCCTGCCTGCCTCTGTCTGCCTGCCTGCCTCTGTCTGCCTGCCTGCCTCTGTCTGCCTGCCTGCCTCTGTCTGCCTGCCTGCCTCTGTCTGCCTGCCTGCCTCTGTCTGCCTGCCTGCCTCTGTCTGCCTGCCTGCCTCTGTCTGCCTGCCTGCCTCTGTCTGCCTGCCTGCCTCTGTCTGCCTGCCTGCCTCTGTCTGCCTGCCTGCCTCTGTCTGCCTGCCTGCCTCTGTCTGCCTGCCTGCCTCTGTCTGCCTGCCTGCCTCTGTCTGCCTGCCTGCCTCTGTCTGCCTGCCTGCCTCTGTCTGCCTGCCTGCCTCTGTCTGCCTGCCTGCCTCTGTCTGCCTGCCTGCCTCTGTCTGCCTGCCTGCCTCTGTCTGCCTGCCTGCCTCTGTCTGCCTGCCTGCCTCTGTCTGCCTGCCTGCCTCTGTCTGCCTGCCTGCCTCTGTCTGCCTGCCTGCCTCTGTCTGCCTGCCTGTCTCTGTCTGCCTGCCCGTCTGTCTCTGTCTGCCTGCCTGCCTGTCTCTGCCTCTCCCTGCTTCTGTTTCCAGGATTTCTGTTCTTCTGATCGCCGTCTGTTCTCCTCTCAGAGCCCCGAAGACTCGCAGGAAGCCGGAGGATGAAGATGAGTACGTGGGGGAGACTGCGCAGGAGAAGAAGCTGCGATTGGCTAAGGAATATCTGACGCAGCTGCAGGCGCAGGGTGAGGAGGGGGGATGGGACGGATGCCGCCATTGTTCCTGTCTCTGTGTTTTTTGTGATGACATGTGACCCGCTCTCTGTTCTTCAGAGGAGGAGGACGGGCCTGAGGACGAGGGCCAGGACGCCATCGCCAGCCGGTTACAGGAAGATGTGGTGAGTGCGCTGGAGGGGGGGCCATGCAGAGTCTCTTCAATTTGGCAACCTCACCTGTTGTGGAACTACAAGTCCCAGGAGGTATTGCAGCTCTGACTACCACAGGCATGACTCCCAGAGGCAGAGGGATGATGGGATTTTGTAGTTTCATTACAGTTGGCAGTGCCGCGGTCGCCTGCCCCTGAACTAGAAGGAACCTGTTACTTTGCTCGTTGTCCCCAATCTCTCGATGACGCTCCATTCGCCGCGTCTAATCCCTCATCGCGTCCGTCTGTGTTGGATCTTGCACAGGGTTAATGAGCTTCTCTCCTCCCCCACTATACTGTATACGGGCTTGTTGATTGGCTGTTCTAACATGCTCCTCCCCCATACCTGGAAGTACTGGATATCCCCCAGGGAAGGTGTCAGCAGTGACCGTCGTCTTTTTGTCTCCGCAGCTTGAACAGAGAGGAAAACTTCGGCGTCAGCTGGCCAAAGAGGTAACGTGACCATCAACCTGTCACTTTCATTGCATAGCTCTGACATATACCGCGGCGCTGTACAGAGAACACTGAGTCAGTCACATCACTCTCTCTGTACAGAGGAGCTTACACTCTAATGTCCCCTCCCCCCCCAGTCACATCAGTCTCTGTACAGAGGAGCTTACCCTCTAATGTCCCCTCCCCCCCCAGTCACATCAGTCTCTGTACAGAGGAGCTTACCCTCTAATGTCCCCTCCCCCCCCAGTCACATCAGTCTCTGTACAGAGGAGCTTACCCTCTAATGTCCCCTCCCCCCCCAGTCACATCAGTCTCTGTACAGAGGAGCTTACCCTCTAATGTCCCCTCCCCCCCCAGTCACATCAGTCTCTGTACAGAGGAGCTTACCCTCTAATGTCCCCTCCCCCCCCAGTCACATCAGTCTCTGTACAGAGGAGCTTACCCTCTAATGTCCCCTCCCCCCCCAGTCACATCAGTCTCTGTACAGAGGAGCTTACCCTCTAATGTCCCCTCCCCCCCCAGTCACATCAGTCTCTGTACAGAGGAGCTTACCCTCTAATGTCCCCTCCCCCCCCAGTCACATCAGTCTCTGTACAGAGGAGCTTACACTCTAATGTCCCCCCACATGTATATAGCTCTGACATATACCGCAGTGCAGTACAGAGGACACTGAGCCAGTCACTGGTACATAAAATCTCCTTTTTTTTCCATCTATAATGATACATTGTTTCCTCTTCTCTGACTCCGCCCTCTTCTCTGGCTCCGCCCTCCAGTTGCTTCCCCCGGATCCTTCAGAGATCCGTCTGCTTCGTGGTCACCAGCTCCCCATCACCTGTATCGCCATCACTCCGGACGATGCGCACGTCTTCTCCGCCTCTAAGGATTGCTCCATCATCAAGTGTGAGTCCTGCACATCTTCTGTTTTATGAGTTGGGGAAAGTTTCTCTCTGCGCCCCGTTGTTCACTTATAAGATGAGCGGCAGAATTCGCCCGTCGTAGACTCCAATGCAGTATAATAACATTTCCCCAAAGATAAAAAAAATCCTCCGGCACTGGAATGTCTCCCTCCGATGTCACTGCACACCGGGAGCGTCTCACAACGTGCATTAGAAGCTGCAGCCAGTCAGACAGAGCTCCGCCTCCTTTCCTGGCTGGAGGATGTCCATCATCATCTAACTCTGTCCTCCCCAGTCTGACTGGCCCCGCCCCTTTCATTGAGAACTATGGGGTCAGGTCTTTTCCCCATAGTTCTCCTTAGGGTAATGGGAGGACACAAACTAGCGTCCTCCCGTCACCCTAAGCTCAGTATATAGGGAGCTACAGCTCGCGGTATACTGAGACGCCGCAGCCGGAGCGGATCCCGACAATTGTCTTGATCTGCCCAGCTGCGTGACAGCTGGCTCCGCCTATCTAGAGGCAGAGCCAGCTGTACCCTCCCCCGTCCCTTCCGCCAGTCAGCGCTGGCAGATCGGAGCGGGGAGGGGGGAATCCAGCCCCTCCCCTGTCACGGCGGAGAGCCGTGACAGGATCGTGTTATGTGTTCCCTCACCTCCCGATCTACTGAGCCGACCTCTGACAGTCTCATTGTCACAGGTCGGCTAGAACTATGAGGTGAGTGAAAAGCCCCTCCCCCTCATAGTTCTCCTTTAAGTTCTTGCAATCATGGCGGCGCATGTTGGCGAGCAGCGCGGCGTCGTAGTTCCCCTGTAGTGAGATCTGTCCCTGCTGACTGTCGTATTCCTTCCTCAGGGTCGGTGAGCGATGGAAGGAAAGTGCACAAGATTCCCGGCGGGCGGAAGGGCTGCGAGAAGACGCACGTGGGCCACACGGCTCACGTCCTGTGCATGGCGGTGTCATCGGATGGCAAGTTCTTGGTGAGGCCTCATGGGGAAAGGATTGACATGCGTGTGTTGTATGTATTATGACGTCATCGATCGATTGATTTGGCGCTCACACACTTTCTTGTCGTCTTCAGGCGTCGGGCGATCAGAACAAACTCATCTTCATCTGGGATGCGGTGACCTGCCAGAACCTTCACAAGTTCCAGGGCCACCGAGGAGCCGTCTCTGTGAGTCCGACACCCCGAGAATTTAATATGACATTTTGTCGCTGCTAGACGCCAGGGGGAAGTTTAATATCAGGCTTGCGGTCGGTGTCTGGTGATGAGAGGGGGCGGTACTTGGGGATGGCTCAGTGTGGATGTCATAACATGGTGCTACTAGATGTCCAGGGGGGGCTAGAGTGACGGATCTGAAGTGTTGTCACCATCTGGGGGCTATGAAGTCCTATTGGACGGTGGAGTGTGTGCGCCGCC